AGGGCCCAAACCGTAAACCCAGAACCCCCCCCCCCCTAAGTCGCTCCGACGGCCGTTCTCATCGAATGGAACCTTGACACGCAGGCATTCTCGTATTGATTTCAAACGGAATTTGGGGTTTGGGGTTCTGCGGTTTTTGGCGGTTTAGGGGCTTTAGGAGTTGAGGTTTTAAACCCTAAATCCTAAAGCTTAGCCCTAAACCCTTTAGAGTTCAGGCTTTTGTTTTATATTTTTTTTGTTTTTGGTGGGGGGGGGTTATGAGGATGCATTTAGTCGTCGAGGCGCGGAGATCTAGAGCTCCGAGGGTTCGGATGTCTGGGACTCAGGATCTCGGGCTTTGAGGCCTAGGCGAATCTAAGGCTTACAACGTAGAGTTAGCAGGTCGAGGCTGGTGGTTTGGGTGTAAGGATAGTTTTTTGTTCGATATTAGGGTCCCTTTGAGGGTCCTTTTTATAAGGGTGCCGTACTATATTGGGGACCCAAAAGGGACCCTATAATTTAGAGAACTACCCACCTAAGCATTACGTATTTAAAGGTTTTGGGACTCTCAGCCGTAGCTCTCAGAAGTTCCATTCTTCGCGATCTGCCTGAGCAGAACCCCAAGGCGTCGGGGGTTGCGCGGACAGAAGGGAAAGTCTACTGCAAGGTAGGTCTTAAAGGCTGGGCCCTAAACCCTAAACCCTAAACCCTAAAAGGCTGAGGCTCAGACGAGGGTTGGGGCTCTTAGAACGCACGTCAAGGCTTGGGGGAGTTCCAAGGAGGCAAAAGGTTGAGAGGCGGTTGGAAACCGTTCATGTAGAAGCCTCAATGATTAGAATAGGGTACGGTTTAGGGTTTAGGGTAAATTATACTACAACTGTCATAAGGAACCCCCAAAATAGTATAGGTAATCATTTAGGCTCCTATAGTAACCTTAATCTTGGGTTTCGGCTGTGGGGTTGGCTTCAACCAACCAGCTTCCAGTCACTCGTGACTGGAACTGCAGGGCCTTCGACAGACTTGGGTCAGAGACCCATATAAGAAACCCTGATAGGAAATCACTCCAGAAACCCTTTTCAAAGCCTGCCAAACCTAAATGCTAAATCCCACTAAACCCTCCTAAACCCCAAACCCTAAACCCGAAAAAAACCCTACATCCTACCCCACACCCCAAACCCCTCCAAAAAAAAACGGTGTCGGACGTCCAGGCAGCATATTTCTCCAACTCCTCATTGCTGAGCTTCATCAGATCAACCCCTGAAACAAGAATGGAGTTTAGGGCTTAGGGGTGCGGGTTGTTGTTACGGGGTTTTGGTGTTCAGGGCTTTGGATTTGGGGTTTGTTTAGGGGGTTTAGGAGTTTAAGGCTTACGGGTTGGGGTTGCGGGGTTTAAGGCTTTGGGATTTCGGGTGCAGAGTTTAGGGCTTACGGGGTGGGGGTTTAGGGATTTAGGGATTTGGGATTTCGGGTTCAGAGTTTAGGGTATGGGGTTCATTGTGGGTTTTTGTTAGGGGTTTGGTTTTTTTAGGGTTTAGGAGTTTAGGGCTTAGGATTTGGGGTTTTGGGGATGTGGGATTTCGGGTTCGGAGTTTAGGGCTTAAGGGTTGGGGTTTAGGGGTTTAAGGATTTGGGATTTCGGGTTCAGAGTTTAGGGTTTGGGGTTTATTTAGAGGTTTAGGGGTTTAGGGATTTCGGGTTCAGAGTTTAGGGTTTGGGGCTTAGGGGTTTAGGGATTTCGGGTTCAGAGTTTAGGGGTTGGGGCTTAGGGGTTTCTGGGTATCGGTGCAGAACTGAAGTGGCACAGGTGCAAAATGTTTGTTGTATATGGTTTCTACAAGGGTTCTAGAAAAGGGTTCTGTAAGGGTCCTACAAGGGTTCTGCAAGGGCTCTACCAATGAGGATGTGTTGCCTTAGGGTTGAGATTTGAAGGTGTTTTAGGGTTTGGGATTCGGGCGATAAGCGCGTTAGAGTTCAGGGTTCGGACTCGGAACTGTAGAGCATAGGGCATCAGGGGTGTGCTATCCCAGAGCTGTTGAAGAGCTTTTGAGACGCAATCTTACTGCCCGTAGAACCCGCCATACAAATCCTACTACTGGTACCAGTACCAGTACTAGTACTAGTTTTCATCCTCGCCCTCGCGCTCGAGCTAGTACGAGTACGAGTACTAGTACAAGTACTGTTACAACTACCAATGCTGTTGCGATTATTACCACTATCGCTACCCCTTCCTCTTCGCTCCTTACACCTTACTCTGTAATGTCACGAAAACTTACTCTTTACATACTAGTTGCTATGTACTAGCTACTATTTAGTATGTATTTGTTTTTATTATTGCGTTCTGTCATTCTGATTTGCTATTACTAGTGTTACTACTACTATTGCTATTACAGTTACGAGAACTATTCCTGGTACAATTACGACCACTATCACCAGCACTATAATTACTACCAGTACTATTCGGAATCTATAGTAATTCCCGTTGATGTTGCTACTGTTATTGTGATTATTGCTGCAGCTGTGATGGATACAGTGATGAGGCTCTTGTTCGTGCTGTTGTTACTATTGTTCATACTGGTGAAACGGATAGTGGTTCCGTTTTGTCATTCACATAAGAGTCAGTATCATTAAAGTAGCTATTGCCATGAAGCTTATTCGCATTACCCGTGTTAATCGGCAAAACATATTCTGGATATTGCTATTCCTTGTGAACTACAAAGTAGTTTTTACTCCTGTTGCTGTTGATGTTCGCTTTTCTCCTTCTCGTCACTACTAGTACGATGAAAGTAGTTCAGTTCATACTCAAAAGCACACTGAGAACAATAATCATGACAACTATAATAACACTAGTTCTACCATTAACATAGACGATAGCCATCGTAAGAGTAAGAATAATTCTGAACAAACATAAATATGTAAATACATAAGTAACATAACAAGAATAGTAATCATATTCAGAAGAAGAACAGTAATAATAATACCGGTACTAGACATAACACTAATACTAAATGCTATTATGAAAACAATGTCAATAACAGTTACAGTAGCTGTTACAGCAATGAAAAGAGTAGCAACATTAAAGCAACAATGACAACCCCAGTTCATTCAGTGCGTTAGGATCTCCTGTTCCGGGGCCGTAGGGTTCAAGCTTCCTGAGGAGCACCCTAGGTTTAGGGTTTAGGGTTCCAGTCCCTGCTCACATGCCTTCGCTATTGTAGAAGGGCTTGTCTGGCGTAGGTGGCTGGATCAGCGGCGCCTTGACCTGACTGCAGTCGGAACACTACACTAGGGCTTAGGGTTCGGGTTTACGGTTTTGAGTGCGGAGTTTAGACATAGGATTGATAATTGAGGGGGTTGGGGTGGATTGTCCTGTCGCACAACACCGCCCCGGACGTGTGTCGTGGCGTGCGCCTAGGTTCACATGGTTCGCGAGCCTCCCCGCTGTCAAGAGATCAAGGCCCTAAACCCGGAAGCACACAATGGGAATCACCGGTCTCCATTGGAATTTCAAGCCAAAAACGAACATGGGCAGTTCTCCAAATCAGGGTCCCTTTTTACGTCCCGAAGTAGTACGCCCCCCTTCAAGTAACGACCCGAAAAGGGACCCAAATTCAGAGAACTACACTCAGGTACATAGAGATGCCCCTCCCAGCTGGGCCTGCATATAAATACCGGCAAACTCATGAAAAAAAACAAGGGCGGGCCTTAATACTTAGAACTGGATTTGCGGTATGTTATACTATACCAATAATAAGGGGCCCTAAGACATTAGCAACTGTTCCGACTGCTGTTCCAGACCGTTTACTGTTACTTGCGCTCACCCTTAAGCCAAAACTCGCACTCCCAGAACAACCTGACACCTGCAAAACTCATAAACCCATAAACCCTAAACCCCTAACCCCCTGAACCCCTAAACCCCAAACCCATAAACCCCTTACACAACCCCCGAAAGCACTGTGAGTCCTTAAGCCGTACACGATCAACCCGGGAAAAGCCCCAAAATCTGCACTCCAAAGCGCCCTGGCCCTGGGCCATAACCCCACATGCTACTGCGGCTCGTCCGACCTGTGTCGAGGCCGCTTCCGGTTTCGGCGGCCTGAAAAGTTGCAGGCTGAAGTTTCAATGGGCTTTTTGTTGCTCGGCCTGTGGCTGAAGACCCAAAACCCTGAACCCTAAACCCTAAACCTGAAGCCCTAAACCCTAAACCTTGAAGCCGAAGCCCTAAGCCCTAAACCCGGAACCCTAAGCCCTGAAGCCTAAACGCTTCCCGGGGTTGGGGGATCGAGGCCTTAGGGGGTTGGAGCCGCATCCTAAACCCTAAACCCTAAACCCTAAACCCTAAACATCTTTCAGGCCTCAGGCCTTCGGCCCTTTAGGCTTTAGGGCACACCTCAGGGTTCCTTATGAGAGGTGTTCAGGGTTTAGGGTTTAGGGTTTAGGGTTTAGGGGGGTTCCTTATGAGAGGTGTAGTGTATAACATACCCGCCCAAAACCCTACTCTAGTCATTAAGGCCCCGAATATTGCTCGGTGCGCTTCCTGGGCTGGTGCTGTGGGAGGCCCCGAACTGTAAGCCCAGTGTGCCATCAACGCCAAAGCCTCGAAAGCCCCCTAAATGCCCTAAACCCTAAACCCTAAACCCTAAACCCTAAACCCTCAAAGCTGCAATCTTGGGGCTTCAGGGTTCAACGTAGGCTAGCAGGCTTAGGGTTTATAGAAATTGTTAAGGGTTTCGGTGCCAATAACGTTTTGTGCGAAACGTTTTGACCGAAAGTTTTGACCGAAAGTTTTCTTTTGGAACCATGTTTTGAAACCGGTGGGCCGGGGGGTGGGCTGGGCTGGGCTGGGCTGGGCTGGGCTGGGCTGGGCTGGGCTGGGCTGGGCTGGGCTGGGCTGGGCTGGTCTGGGCTGGGCTGGGCTGGGCTGGGCTGGGCTGGGCTGGGCTGGGCTGGGCTGGGCTGGGACTGAAGTCCGCTTAGTAAGTGTGGGTGATGTGGGGGCTGCTGGGTGGGTGGGCTGGGCTGGG